AGGTAGAGCCCTTAGGGACGATCTTTGTTTATAAATTCTAGGCATGATATATCTAAAAAACAAAGCAGAAAAAAGAAGAAGAATAAAAAAAAAACGACGATCCACAGTCTCCCTGCCAACGGTTTTCTGACGTTCGGAAATGCATATAGGGTTCGTCGGCGACCACACTCTCCAACCACTCACTTGTTAGCGGCAACATTCAAACCGTCATCGTGGTGCGTGTTCAGAAGCGCTCCAGTAGTCGGTGTGCAGGGGGTTGAACTCTCTCGCGAGTTGATCGATTGTGTGAAGGTCGAGCAAGCGCGCAAGCGAAGAAGGTGGTCAAGGTCGACATCAATGGACTAGGCCGTATCGGAAGGGACGGAAGGCTGGTCCCGAGGGCTTCCCTCAACCACCCCAACGTGCAGGTCGTGGCTGTGAACGACCTCTTTCTTGATTCCGAGTACTATGAACAACAATTTCGTCAAAACGGACATATTTTATTTTTTGAACGAAATTGAAAACTAAAAAATTGGCCCGATTTAGGTCGATATTTTCAGCTCCTGAGGGTAAGGCGTTCTGAAAACGCCCTACCCCCTGGATGCAAACTAAGTCCAGATACATCCAGGGGGGTACGGCGTTTTCAGAACGTCGTACCCCCTAGACTCCAGCTAAGTCCAGATACATCCAAGGGGTTCGGCGTTTTAAGGACGCCGGACCCTCAAGAGCTTGAAATGTCCACCTAAATCGCTCTAATTTATGAGGTTTCAATTTCGTTTAAAAAATAAAATATGTCCGTTTTGACGAAATTGTTGTTTATGTGTGTGTGTGTGTGAGAGAGAGAGAGACGACATGCGCATGCGATTCCCGTGCCCACGCGATTCCCGTGCCCCGATCTGGGGCGCACGGCTCCGACTGCGCTTGGCGCAACCACGAAAAAAATCGGTCGCGCGACCCGTCACCTCAACCACGGGATCGTGCCCGTGGAGGTCACGTAGCCCGCAACCAAAAGTACCAAAACGGTAAAGAAAATACCATAGAGTAGAGGAGAGTGTCGTAGAGTGTCATAGAGTAGAGGAGAGTGTCGTAGAGTGTCATAGAGTAGAGGAGAGTGTCGTAGAGTGTCATAGAGTAGAGTAGAGTAGAATATTGTTGTAGACGGTGTGTAGAGTAAAGTAGAGTATTGTTGTAAACGGTGTCGTAGAGTACAGTACAGTAGAGTAGAGTTGAGTGGTGTTGTAGACGGTGTCGTAGAGTAGAGTAGAGTAAAGTGTCATAGAGTAGAATAGAGTAGGGTGTCGTAGAGTGTCGTTGAGTGTCGTATAGTAGAGTGTCGCCGAGTAGGGTAGAGTACAATGTCATCGAGTGTCGTAGAGTAGAGTCTGCGCAGTGTCGTAAAGCAGAGTGTGTCTGTGTCTGTGTGTGTGTGTGG